TCAAAGAGGACCAAAGGCATCACAAGGGTGATGTCTTGACTTGCATGTGAATTGGATATGAGTGAGATGTGAGGGCAAGAACTATGTCTTACACTTTTCTGCATCTTTAATAGCACCTAGCATAAGACTAGGCACATGAAGTTTTCCCAACAAATCCATATTGGATGAATTAAAAGTCCCAAACAAATGTTTTATACCTTACTTCAAAAGCTTGCAATTCATGGTAGAGCAATATGATTGCTTCCCTGAGTTGTGTGATTTGACAAAACTGAGCTAGAATTTAGACATAAGCTAGTTTCCTTCAAGAATTCCATTTGGAAAGATATAACAGTCTAGGTGAGATAAGGCATTTCTTTTTCCCTTCCTGAAGATACCACAGACATGATTCATAATTTTAGATGTCATCTCCTTTCAAAGCCATTGGCTCATCATGCCAATTTCCCTCCAGGGATTATAAGGTGAGTTGCTGACCCACCTTCAGAAGGACATGCATGTTCCTTTCTTGAAGGAGAGGTAGCTTTGTAAACTCTCTCTAGCCCAAACCTCCTTATGACCAAGGGGATATAATTACAAGATGGCTAACTTTGGAGGTGTAGTCTGGAGCCATGGAAGAAAGAATAACAGACTTAGAGCTGGAAAAGACATTAAAAACCATAGATTTAATTTTTACGGATGAGGAAATTGACACGTATAGAGGTTGAGTGACTTGCTAATTGTACACAGTTACTAAGTGTCTGGAGGTAAGACTTGAACCAAGGTCTTTCTAACTCTGAGACTACTATGCCATTCTCTATACAGTGATGCTTCTCAAAACTCCTCTTTTTATAGATAAGAAAATTGAGATATAGAAAGAAAGTTTCCAAGAGGGTGATATGGAAAGTAAAACTAGAGAAAGGCAATGACTAGAGGGAGGGGAAAGGGAGCAAACCCATAACCTTGGTTTCTTTAGTGTAATAAATTAAGTGCCTGAGCTAACTACCTCACAGGATGGGGTGAGGGAACATTAGAAGGATTTGTCACCATCAAAGAAAAAAAAAGACAGAGGACTTTAGTAAAGAAACATCTTATCTTCTGTTGTTATGAGAAAGTATTGTCCTTACCTTGGGTTGAATTGTAAACTGGGCTAGCACATACCCAAGTAAGATTAATGGTATGGCTCCCTGAGCTAACTGGGTTGCTGGCATTGCAAGTATAGGAATTCTCAGTGTTCTTGGCTTGGATATGAAGCTGTACATGGGAATGTTTCCCTGGGGATTTAATTTGCTCTCTCCCTCTGTACCAGGTGTATGTCAAATTATCATTCCCCTGGACAAAGCAGGACAGGTTCACATGGCACAAAGTGTTATTCCATGACTCTTCAGTCACCTGGATCTTTGGATTCTGGACGGGATCTAAAAGCAAAAATAATTGGCCCAGGTGAAATAGGTGCTACAAGGCTGATAGAGAGACTAGAAAATATGTTCATAGGTACTCACCAAACACAGAAACCTGGAACGAGTTAGTATTAAAAACTTGTCCTGATTGACTGGTGATTTCCATGAAGTAGAGGCCACTGTCATTCTTCTGAGCTGGGTTAATGAATAAGGTCAAGTTCTCTGTTTTGACATCAACTCTGTTTTTAAATTGCTCAGCTTCAAATGTCACCTTTGAGTCATCTGTCCAACTCAATATCCTAAATTTTTCCTGAGTTGAAGACAGTTTCACAAACCAAATGAATTGTATACTCTCTGAATACTGCTGAATCCACACTGGTTGTAACTTGATATGACTTCCCATGATGACAGCTATGCTCATTATCTTCATATCAGAACCTGATGTTCCTAGGAGAGAAAAATCCAGAGAGTAGAGCTCATTGGCTTTGAGCTCAAAATCTGGTTGATTTTACCCAAAAGGAAATTACATTGGACAGATAACCCCCCAAAATGAAGGTCAATATGTATGTTCACAGAGCAGGCTCATTGCAGCATTAGGGTAGACTTCCTTCCCTTGCTTTCTCTTTTGTTCTCCCCCAAACAAATCTTATATACTAAATATCAGCTATGTGCCCAGCCTTGAAGAATGGTTCTGCCCCAGGAGTTTATGATCTAGAAGAAAAGAACACAGATCCAATGGGCAAACATTAGACAATTTCCCATTTTTCTGCTGTTATCAATATAGGTGGCATTTCTAAGCCTATGTTAAATGATGAGCCAGTCTGCCTAACTTCATTCTTACTGGAACTGCATGAAGCTCTTCTTTATCTAGGAGCAGAGCTCATGTTTATACAAGCTAAGAAAAAGTCATCCCTTTTTCAAACTTTTTAGTGTAGTTAATATATGGTTATGAGGAAAAAAGTATCTAAGGATTTTTCCCTATTCTGATACAAGGTGAATGACTTTTCTCTCAAGTCTCTTGCCCAGTTATCATATCATTGTCTTGGATCACTCTTCAATGTCCATTGCTTTTGCTCCTAGACATATACTGCTGAAGAAAGATGGAGAAAATGAGGCAACCATTCTGACTGGTCTCATGATCAAGCTGAGTCCCATGATCACACCACATTCTCAGCAGGAACAGCTGAAGGCTTTCAGCCCACTTCTTCATTTGAAAGTCTGCCTCCTCATTGTTCACCTGCCTGTCAGGGACACCTACTTTTCCAAAAGTATTTAAACACTTAATGATCTCTGTGGTGGGGTCTTTGGTTGTTGAGAGAGACCAATAATCATCAATTTAATGATTATTAGCTAGTCTAATTAATAAATTGATTATTAATTACTCAGAAACTCTGTCTCTCAGGATTTTAATTCATCACACTACCTTCTAGTCTCTTTACATCTGACTCCCCTCCACACAACTCTTCAATTCAACTACATTGGCTTCCTTGCTGTTCTTCACATCAACAATGCATCTCTTAACTCTCTAACTTTCCACTGGCTGTCACTCAGTTCTGGAACACTCTTCCTTCTCACTTCTCTCTCTTGACTTCTCTGGCTTTCTTTAAGACTTAGATCAAGTGCCAAGTTCTGCAGAAGGTCTTTCCCAGTAGTGAATGCCTTCCCTCTGAAATTACCCTCCATTAACAATTTATATACATTGTTATTTTCATGTCATCATATTTGAATTTCTCTGTATCCCTAGACGTTAGCACAGTGGCTGAATATCTCCTCTCTACTCAAATGACAACAATCCTACTTCAGGACCAAATCATGTTTCACTTGAATTATAGAAATAGCCATATAAGCAGCCTCTGTGCCTCATGGTTCCCACCCAACCCCTACTCTAACCCTGCTTCCGTGTAGTTATTTAATGAGGTTTTACAAAAGCACATTTCAGAACATGTCACTCTCCTGTCCAATTAGTTTCAGTGTCTCAATATTACCTCAAGGATCAAAGAAAAACTTGTCACTTAAGGCACTAAGCAACTTGGCTATCCGCTTAAACACTATTCCATCCAGGAAAACTGCCTTTCATCCAATTTCTCACACTGCGTACTTCATCTCCCACCTCCTTGATAGATCCATATGCCTGAAATGTACTTCATTTTTACCTCTACCTCAAAATTCCTACTCTCCTCTAAGGAAACTCAGCTTCACTGCCACCTTTTACAAGAAACCTTTTCTAATTCCCTCAGATTCTAGTATCTTCTCCCCCAAAAATTACTTCTCATTTGTTTTGCACATGTAGTAATACTTACAACAGATCCTTCCACAGGAAGTCAGACAGTCAAAAAGCACTTATTGCTGTTATTGGTGGTGGTCAGTTGTTTCAGTCACGTCCGTCTCTACATGACCTTCTTTGGGCTTTTCTTGGTAAAGCTCCTGGAGTGGTTTGCCATTTCTTTCTCCAGCTCATTTTACAGACGAGGAAACTGAGACCACCAAGCTGCCCACAAACATTTATTAAGTGATTACTGTATGTTAAGCACTGTGCAAAGAATGGAAACACAAAGAAAGGCAAAAACTTCAAGGAGTTTGCATTCTAATGGGAGAGATAACATGCAAATAAATAGATATGTGCAAGACACATAGTATATGGAAGGCAATATTAGGGGTAGGCTTCTGTCAGCTGGAGGGACCAGTAAAGGCCTCATATGAAAGGTGGCATTTGAACTGAGTCTTGAAGGAAGTCAGGGTTTCTAAGAGGCAGCAGAGGGCTAAGTGCATTAAAATTATTATCTCACTTGAACTTCACAACAACCCTGAGAGGTAGGTGTTATTATTGTCCTCATTTTAGAGTTAAGGAACCTGAGGAAGAAAAAAGTTTAATGACTTGCCCAGGATCATACAGCTAGTACAGATTTGAACTCAAGTCTTCTTGACTCCAGACTCAGTGATGTATCCAATGCACACAGTCAGAAACGTTGCTCTGTATTTCACAGCCAGGAAAGGTGAAGTCCAGGAAACAGAATCATGTTTAGAGATTCTGTTTAGGGCCAGTAAGTGAGTTGGTGACAATGCCAATGAGGCCCCCACTCCCAGCCCCATTCCACCCTGGTGTCTAGTCCACTTGGTTAGACTCTGCTTGGGGCAGGGATATCTCAGAAGCTACTGCAGTCTCATTACTGTAGTGAGGGGGCAGCTTTCCATGTGTGGTGGCTCTCTATTTCCCCACAGGGCCTCTCTGGTCCTAATCCACCCTTCTTGTAACTCCTTACCTTGGTTCTGAAGCATGACAAGGAAGATGAGGGGAGTGAAAGCTTTCCAAAGCATCTCTACAGAGTAGAGCTCACAGCCAGGGTTCCTCAGTCCCCCAGCTAAGACTTCCTTCCCTCAACAGCTCCCCCTCAATGTGGCTTACACTGTTTCTTATAGACAACAGGAGATAGGGGTATGCTGGGTGGGGGAAAGTACAGGCGGTCGCTGAAGTGCAGAGCCCTCTTATAATTAGTCCAGCCACAGTTTCCTCTGTGCTGTGGCTGATCTTTTGTGAGTTAATAAATTGTCAGGACTTAGTTGAGAAAACCTCAGCCCCTGAGCTCTGGCCACATATGCTTACAGGCTTCAGCCCAGCAAAGGCACACAGCTTGCTAGTTAGGTCCAGGCTCCTACATCTTCCAGCAGTGACAGTTTTGCCAAGAAGCATTTGTTAGGTGTTTACTATCAGCTCAGGACTCTGCTAAGAACTGGGGATACTAAGAAAGGCAAAAACAGATCCTTCCTTCAGAGAGCTTACATTCTAAGGGAGGACATAGCGGGTAAAACAAAAATAGCTGCATATGAAGTAATCTTAGAGGAAGAAGATCTGGTACCTGGAGGGATGAGGCAGGCCTCCTACAGGAGATGGTCTTTGGCCCTAGTCTGGAAGGAAACCAGGGATTCTAAGAGGCAGAAGTGAGGAAGAAGAGAGTATCCCAGGCTTGGAAGACAGCTAGAGTCCCTGGAACTGCAGTGAGCCAGGATAGTTGGCTCACAGAACAGGTGGAGGGCATGGAAGTTTGAGACAGGAAAGGGAGGAAGGGACCAAGGTTTTTAAATGTCACACGAAGTACTTAAAATAAAAACAGCTAACATTTAGGTAACACTTTAAGGTTTGCAAACACTTCACACATGTAGGGGACAGGGAACAGACTGCTCTATGAGTCCCATCCTTGGGTGAATCTTCCAGGTTCTCACCAGGTTTGGTGAGCCTGCTTCCAGAAGTGTATGGTGGAGGGACAGATGCCCCCTTTCACAAAATCTACAAGCATTTTCGGATACTCTTCTGTTAGCTTATGGCTATGGAAAACTTTTGGTGGTGGCTACCAAGCTGGAAGTGAATGTTCATGTAAGAGGCATGAACAGGTAAAATCTATCTCTGTGTTTTTGTCTCTCAGTCTTTGCCTCTCTCTGTCTCTGACTGTGTCTGTCTGTCTCTCTGTCTCTGACTGTGTATACCTCTCTATCTCTTTCTCTCTCTCTACTCTCACATGAGAAGAAAGGAGTACTGTGGACCTCCAGGTATGGAGAGCAGTAGTGTCAGCAGGAGTGGCTATCTCATCTTCCCACCTGCATAGGCCTCCATATGGCCACGAATGCATGGCCGCCACTGTTTCTTCTGTGTGAGTTGTGCTCATTCTTCCTAAATCTTAGGTGAACAAGTATTAGAGATGGAAGAGGATCGATTATAACTTTGTTAGCTTTGAGTGGCCACAAGTATCACCAGAGGTCATCATTTGGTCACAGAGCAAGGGGGAGAGAGATTCGTCTGTGCTAGCAGTTTTCTCAATATTTTCATCTTGGCAGGGAGGTGATAGATTACACATGAAGAATGAGATATACATTTTCAGATACAAATAATGTATGAGATTATTTTGTTTGACTATATTTATTTGTGACAATGGAGGGTTTTTATTTTAAAAGAGCTGAGGAGGAAGCTAGAAGGGTAGTGATAATATTATGGGGGGAGGGAAGAAACAAAAGAAACTAACACAAGAGAGTAGAAAGAAGTTGAGAAGGGGACACAGACGAAACAGGGAAATGTCAGCACTACATTGTTAAATTGAGTAAATACGCAGTTCTTATGACAATGAGGTCAAGACTAGGGAAGGAGGCAAAAGGAACCAGAGTTTCACAGATAGGGAGCATGAAAGAATAGGGAGCTTTGGAGGGAATGCCTTTGCTAGTCATAGTAAGGTCTACGATTCAGACATGGTGGCAAGTAGCTACAGTTAAATGTAGAAGTTGTTAGAGCTTAAGAAATCACAAAACTAGCATTTTAGAAAGTTCTAGGATATAAATCCTAAAACTTCTAGAGAGGATGTTAATCGTGAGTGTTGTTGTTCAATCATTTCAATCATGTCTGACTGTTTGTGACCCCATATGTGGTTTTCTTTCTTTTTCTTTTGTTTTTAGGCAATTGCGGTTAAGTGAGTTGCCCAGGGTCACACAGCTAGTAGGTGTCAAATGTTTGGTCTAAGGCCAGATTTGAACTCAGGTCCTCTTGACTACAGGGCCAGTGCTTTATCCACTGTGCCACCTAGCTGCCCCAAAAATCTGCTTTGTAACTCTATTTTTTTTTCTTTTGGGCAACTGGGGCTAAGTGACTTGCCCAGGGTCACACAGCTAGTAAGTGTCAAGTTTATGGTCTCTGGTCAGACTTGAATTCATGTCCTCCTGGTGTTCTATCCACTGTGCCACCTAGCTGCCCCCATCATATGAGGTTTTCTTGGCAAAGTTACTGCAGTGGTTTGCCATTTCCTTCTCCAGCTCATTTTACAGTTGAGAAACTGAGGCAAATGGGGTTCAGTGACTTGCCCAGGGTAACACAGCTAGTAAGTGTCTGAGACTGGATTTGAACTCAGGTCTTCCTGACTCTGGGCTCAGCCCTCTGTTCACTGTATCACCAACTCCTGAGTCATAAGTGTAGAGAAAGAATCCAAGCCAAGTTCAATTTGGAGCCATTGAAGAAGGTGAGAGGATGATCTGAAGATCAACAATGAGTTCAGGGTGTTATAATGAAGTTACACAAATTTGAAGGAAGAAATGATGTTGAGGGATAGCAGGAGAGGGAAAATGCAATTAAATTCAATAAATACTGTTTAAACATCTGCTGTGTGCAAGGTATTGGGCTAAACTCTGGGGATACAAAGACAAAAATGAAAACCAGTCTCTCACCTCAAAGAATGGACTGTGAACAGATACATTGATGTAAGGAACTCAGATATTTAGAGCCAGAAGGGACCTCAAAGGCTACCATTTCCAAATCAGGCTTACAATCTGGCCACCATCCTCATCTCCCCCAACTGGAACTTTGAACTCTGCCTCTAAACACACTCTGAGCTCTGATAGGTAAGCTTTCATCTCACCTTGCCTGGCACCAGACCTCCACATCCCTTCCCAGCAAAATGATAGCCTCCTATACCCACTGCTTTCCAGCTCTTCTTTATGTATTATACCTCCCCCCTCCCCTGCCCCCATTACCATTGGGGGCAGGGACTGTTTTGCAGCTGTATTTTCATCCAGTCCTTAGCACAGTATCTGACATGTAGTAAGTGCTTAATAGATGCTTTAACTATCCAGCCATAGTCATAGGATCATAGTACTATAGGTCTAAAGCTAGAAGGGACCTCTGAGGATATCTAATCCAATTCTCTCACTGGACAGATAAGGAAAAGAAGGCCCAGAGAGGTTAAGAGCCTTGTCAAAGGTCACACAGGAGCCAAGAGTCATGATTTAATGAGATTTATTATTCTCTCCAAATTCAACGCCCAGAGGAGTCATCTTATGTTGGTTCTTGGAGAGAAGGGAGGTTACCCATTCCTGAACCTGCAAATATCTAATTTCAGAATGACACAACAGTCATTTATAGAACAGGAGCACAGCAGCCTCTGTTATCTCCTGACTGTTACTACCACCAGTATGAGTTCCATAGCCATCCAGTCGAAAGCAGAGAAATCCCCACACTGCTTGGGATCCTCTTGTGGGAAGAATCCTCCTCCACCAATGCAGTGCTGCAAAGGAGAAAGATAGCAATGAAAGAACCGTGGGATTACTGTATTTAGTGAGAGAGTTTGTCAAAGGAAGGAAATGCATGGAATCCCTTGGTCTCATCACTATATATGGAACTTATGAAATGATCATCACATTCCTCAGAATGCTAGCTGTCCCCCTGCCTGTAGTGCCCACCCCTCTCTTCTTTTATTATATATAATGATTATCCTCAAGACCTGGTTCAAATGCTACCACTAATGGGAAGCCTTTCCCAACAACCCAAACCTTGGTGATTCTTTCAGCTAGTATGAGTTACACATCCACTTAATCCTTTTAATTACTCTCCCAGACACAGGAGAAGGCCCCTGGATTCTGGAATTATAAAATCATGGCTTGAATACTGGCTCTATTCCTTATTGTCTATGTGACTTCAGTTAAGTCAATTTCCCCTCTCTAGGCTTCAACTTCCTCCTCTGTAGAATGATTTGCATTAGACGTCTTATTTGGTGTTTAAGTTCAGAATAAAAATGAAATGACATGAAAATTATTTTTTAAATGAGCATATTGCCCTAGGTGATGTCAAAGATCACCATACATTCTAAATCTGTGAACTAAAAATTATCACGTACTCCCCTCCATTGTTACCATTTCCTCAAGTAGAATATAAGCACTTTGTAGATAATAATAATATTTTATCTTTGTATGGCTTAGTACCTTGCATATAGGCAACAGCAGAAGAGTGGACAAAAGGCTGGCCTTGGGGTTAGGGGTTCAGGTCCTGCCTCTGGCATATATTAGATGTGTTACCCTGGTCAGATGGTTTGTCCTTTCAGTATCCCCAGGTAATGCTCTCACACTACAGGCTGAAATAGGGGAGGTTGTTTTTATACCAGGAATTCCCACACAGATGAAATCATAAGTTTGGACAACAAATTTAAAAGACTTTACACAAAACTGATATTAAGTGGATACTAGCAGTTAATAATTTTGAGATGAAGTATTTAGAAAAAATTTCCCATGAAGCTTTATTTCCATCATCTGCCAAGTTTTAAAGAAAACTTGGGCATAGAGCTATGCAGTCTTCAAGTCTGATGCATTTGAAAGGAAAATGGTTCCTAAAAGCACTAGTCTCTTCAATAGTTCTTATCCTGTGCCTGGCTACCTCAAGATCACACACATGTATACTCTGTTTCTGGGCTGCCTCCAAACCCAGAGCCATGGATAGTTAGCAGACGCCCAGAAAGCTACATCACCAAGTCAGAAGTTATGGTTCTCAACTATGATTCATCAGGACCAAAGTGTGAGAGCCCCCTCTGAGATACAGAAGAGGACTTGGTGTCTCTCTCCTCCTTCCAAAATGAGGCATAGATGACAATAGGGTGTCTTAACTGTGTGGTTGAAGACTACATCTTGAGATTTTGACATCCTGTTATCACTCTGAGAAACGGAAAATCATTGTGTGAAGAGAAGCTAAAAGA